GAAGGAGGAGGAGGAGGAGGGCTGGGTGTGTGTGGGGGCCGGCCGGAGGAGGGGAGGGGACGGGACGGGAGAGGACAGCCCAGCCACACGTGCGCTGAGCTGCTCGGGGCTCTGCCCCTGCGCTCGGAGCGGCCACTCTCGGGACGGGGACATCCCCCGCCCTACGGGGGACACCCGCAGCCGAGGAGCCGCTGTACGAGGGGTCCCTGTTGCAGCGAGCCCCCCGTTATAGAGGAGGGGCCACATGGGGAGCCCGGTGTGTGGGGGGGAGCGTTATTAAGGGCAGCCCTCATTGTACGGTGCCTCATTAAGGGGACCCCCATTGTATGGAGCCCCCAGTGAACGGGCCACCATTTCAGGCAGTCCCCATTAGCGACTGCCTTCCCATTAGGAAGGAGCGACATTAGGGTGACTCTCCTTCCAAGCAGTCCCCATTAGGGAGGGACCTCATGAAGGACCCCCACTTACAGGCAGTGCCCATTAGGGAGGGACCCCCAGGCATCCCCGTAAGAGAGAATCCCCATCGAAGGGACCCCCGGGGCAGGAGCTGACGGCGCAGTCACAGCTCACGGAACGGGATGTGGCTGAGGAACGCCGAGGGCTCGGTAACAGCTACGGGCAGCCCAATCCAGTTTAGGGGTCCCCCACGGCCGCCTGAGTAACAAATTGTTCAAAAACACGGACACGGCTCACCCCGACAACGAAGACCCTCATATGTAACATTTTCTGATGAACAATGCGGCGGTTAATAAAGGCGTGTATCATCCTGAGCCACGAGTGCACCTTAGGCGGAGTCCCCCGCCCTGTATCCGGGCGGATAACAACGCCTGCTTCTTGGAACTACGGCGGGGTTCAGCAGTTTTGTTTCCTAGCTTCGGTGGCACAGGCAGTCCCCGTGTAGAGGATCCCCCATTGCAGCCCATGGGGATTCCCTGTGAAACAGGAAGCTCCCCCCTTAAAGAGCACAGAGAAGCCTTCCCCAGGCTGAGCCCACCGGGCTCTAGCCGGACACAAATCCCTGTGTCCACAAAAAGTCGCTTTTCCATCTCGTCTGCAGAGCCAGGGATCCACGGGCAGCCTGGCGTGGACTAGGGATGGTTTCTGAGCCCTTCGGAGTCAGTCCCCACCCCAAAGCACAGCCCTTCCTCCTGGATTTAACCCCCGCCAGCCCCAAGCATTAACACGGAGCATTTAGCTAAGGAGTCGGTCTGGAAACATTCATGCAAACATTCCCGGACGAATCATTAACCATCATAAAAGGCACGTAAATATGATTAACCCAGTGACACAGATCCTGGGAGATTAAGTGTGTTGCCCAAGGCCGTGGACTGAAGCAGTGGCAGAGGCTCAGCTCCCTCAGGCACTGAGAAATAAAGATTTCTAAGTGAAAAAGAAATAATTCCACTTTTTTATTACTTCATTGATCTAAGACTGGGAAAGCAGGGTTTGAATTCTCCTCTCTTTGGCCTCACAAGCATTATTTTCTACTTACAGCTTTAATTTACAGAAGTTTTGTGGCAGCAGCAAAGAAAACAAGGAACTGGGAGGAGCTGCCACTGAATTCGCAGTCTCTTGGCTCCAAAGTTTACACACCACTGCTTTGTCTGGAGCTCATCGATCAGATGTTTCCATTAATATTCTCATTGGTCAAATGGTAATGTAATTAGAGAATAGTTATTACATTCAATTATGAGATATGTATCTATATATTATGATATACACATATATTAGTGTGCAACATAAAATAGTTATTATGCATTAAAACAAGCAAATGGGAGGATAATACAGCTTTTTATTTCGAGTTAAGGGCATTAAAACTACCAGTGTTCATTTTTACCTCACTGAACAGAATGAGAATTCCCTTGAAATGGCAGACAATCCCTTTAAGCTTGAGTTGGCTCATACATTTATATCAATTGAGAAACACCTTTCCTCATCCTGGTTTGGCCATATCCCTGCTGCCAGGCATCCAGCTGGACTCTGAAAGCTAAATTTCAACAACATTTTCTCACTCTTACATTTCTCTGGTGCAGAGGGGAGTTTCTACCTGTTGTCTCAGCAAATACCTGATGTTTCGTTCTTTTTCCTTCTGTCTCAACTTCCCATGTGGTTCATCTCTGCCTTAGAGATTCAGATGGTCTGAACAGGTCCTTGCTGAGGCATCAAACCTGCTGGCACAGGAGACACCATCTTAAAAAAATCCCCATTATTTATTTTTATTGTTTTCATTTTTGTATTAATTTTTAAAGACTTGGGAGTGTGTATTTGGGGAAAGGTGGGTGGTGATTCCCACTCGGGGCATGGCCATTCCCACCGTTTGCCCCTCCATCCATCAGCATCCTCTGTTTGGTACCTAGTGATGAGAGCAGCCCCAGAATCCCCACAGGGTTGCTGTGAGCCCAGGGAGGTGAGGATTTCATCAAATTTGGGCCATGTGGTTTTCAATTTTCTTTTTGAGCCTCAGCATTTCCGTTCAATCTGTTGTTTCCTGGGCTTTGGCTCCCTCTAAATGCTCAGGAAACCTGCTGGCTTCACATTGCCACTGCCTGCAGGGTCCCCAAATTCCATGTCTGAGGTGGGACACCCATCCTGGGGCTCACTCTGGCAGACACAGGGATGTGGGGGCTCCAGGTGGGAGTATGTGCCTCCAGGTAGCATTCAGAGTTCATTGCTGCTCCCCAGCCACACCACTTCTCCCATGCCCCAGAAAGGGTCAGTTCTTGTCCCAGCTTTTGCTCCGCAATTTGTTCTGGTGCTAATTAAGCCCCTCAGAAGGATTCAGCCCCCTCTAGGAGGGCAGAATCCAGAGTGATGCTGGACAGGGGTTCGAGTGATGGAGAAAGGTGGTGGTTCGCAGCTCACAGGCCTGTCCATCACCTCTTCCTGTGGCAGATCTGTTCAGGAACATCTACCTTCATTCCTTTTCCCTCTTTTTTTCCCCTCTTCTCTTTGATTTGCTTCCCCATAAAGTCGTGCTTTAGGTTCAGGAGAGATCAGCTACTCAACTGATCCCCTGCTGACAGGGAGAAGTGGGATGTAAAGGTCACCTGCGGCAACAAACCCTCCAAAAAGACCTTGGGTTTGCCTCTAAGGAGTAGACAACCCCTCTCCACGCTTCAAATCATTTGGCAATCCCCCAAATTGTCCAACAGAACCAAACCAGAGATGGTTTCTTTGGCTCAGGAGCCATTTGGAGGGGAGTGGGAGATGGATGGGGTCCTCCTCTACAGCTGAAACATGTCCACATATGGAATGAAGGCAAATCCTCTTGGTCCCCAAAAAAATCCCTGTTATGTGTGTATATTATATTATATTATATTATATTATATTATATTATATTATATTATATTATATTATATTATATTATATTATATTATATTATATTATATTACATTATATGCCTTTCGCAAATATTAAAATTAATGTTATGCATATAAGGTTAGAAAACTTTGTTGTATTAATATAGTTCCTTCTAGTTCTGTTATTGATGAAAATTAGAAATAGTGGTATAATATATATATATATATATATATATATATATATATATACATATACACACACACATATATACATATATATATATATATGTTAGGCAGTAGCACGGTATTAAAGCAAAAACTACTTTTGTTTATATAACCCAGAGACTGAAAAAGACAGCCAGAAACCCCCCTCCATTCTTCAATTATCTTATTCAGATGAAGACAGTGATGACCAGTACTCCAAAGGAGGAATTTATGGAACCTCTGTTATCAGGGACTGTAAGACTCAACGGAGTTGAAAATATTGATCTGTTGGGGAAGGGGTGATTTAAAACTAAACAAAAGAACATCTAAAACTTAAGAGGAATGTTTGAATCATGTATGAGAATTCATGAATATGTAATAGGGTTCTGTTTTTAAGGGACAATCCTTTGTTAGTAAAGTGTGCTCTCTTGGCTGAATGCTGAGGCACCCGACTATATTTGTACATTTTATTTTATTTCTATCTCCTAATTGTCTTTCTGTTAAACTTCTTAAATTTCATATGAAAGATATGTGAACCTCGTTTTTCACAATCCCCAAATTCCATCCCTCTACAAGGAATTTGTGACACTGGCACCTGTTGCTGTGTCCAAGAGGACAAGAGGGGACTTTATCCCAGCCCACCATCCCCAGGGCTCCAGCCAAGGACCTCCTCCTTAGCAGTGACACCTTGAGATATCCTCGGCGGCAGCAGCTCCCCTGATGAGGCTCTAATTAGCGAGCTAATTGGAATAAGAGAGCTGCACAGACAGTCCCAATTTCCCACACACAGCCTGGCTGGAGAAAGGGGGCAGAGGAAAACAGGGATGAAGGGATGGAGTGGTGGGGGGGAAGGATTAGGGAGGGTTCTAGGGAGGGCTCCCAACAGCTGCTATTGTGGTTAAATTTAAAGTACACTTATCGTGAAGAGAGGGACTCCTCATCCCACTCATTTCTTATGGAGCCAAGGAGTTGAAGCCTTGGAAGCTGCCAGCTCCTTCCAAGACTTTGAGTGAGTGCTGGCAGTGAGAGGAGACCCCAAAATCCTCTGCAATACCCAGTCCCACATCCCTCCCTGCCCTGCAAGTCACATCCCATGCTCTGAGAGTTTTTTGGGGTGGGTCTTTACAGCTTCTTCCACCCCTCTTTGCTCTGGATCTCCTTCTATCCAGGGCAGGATCCCCCGTTAGACTGAACCAGGAGAAAATTATACAATTTTTGAAGTCTGTTACAACCCAAACCATCCTATGATTCTAACAAAATATGGCATGGACAAGTCTGGTTGCTCATCCAACATTCTTCCAGCTTTATCTCCTTCAAAACTTTGATTTGGATCCTGCCAGGGCCTGTGGGATACGGGGTAATAAATAATTGTTAAAGCGGTCAAACTTACTCTCACCAGAAGGGGCCTGAGGGCTGAGGGGCCGGCGGGAGTGGGGGGGGGGGAGTCGGTTGAGAGCGACATTGTGATTGGCTGAAAAACGCGTGGACAACATGTGAGCGGGAAGCTGATTGGCTGCTAGGACGCGGGGCCAGGCGCATTGCAGCCGAGCCAGCCAATGGGAACCCTTCTTTTGTTGAGTTCTGTTAGGCTCCGCTTGGGGTTTCGGAGATTAAAGATATAAAAGGGGCCGATTTCTGCATTAAGGGATCGCCTTCGGAGGCATCACGGGTCCGTGTCGCTTTGCTCTCCATTGCTAGAAGGGTCTACAGTTATTGGTGAATAAAGATCCCAGCCTACCCTGCTTGCTGCCCCAGGAAAGCAATAAAGACAAGGCCCAGCAACCCAGAGATGCAGGTACCTCATTATCTCTAGATAATTATCCGTAGGTAATGAGATATCCAAGCCCCAGCAAGAGCAGAGTGGGAATAAATCCCCAAAGGACATGAAACATCATCACCTTCCCACCCAGAATCATGGAATTGAGTGGACCCCACCAGCTAAGAGGGTTTTTCTCTGCTAAGTCACTCCTTCAGCAAGCTGCTCTCCAAGAAACACTGAAAAAAACCCCTAATCCTGTTCTCCCAGGAGGAGGAATCCAAAAATAACTCTGTGGATGAATGAGCAGCACAAAGCCAAGTGCTGAGGCTTGGGTCAAGTTTGGGAGCTGAAAGTTTTCCAGCTCCATGTTCCCACTTGAATTACTGCCTGAGCATTCACACGCCGTTCCTGCACTTCATAATAATAAAGCCGTAGTGTTTCTTTTTGCTTTTGTTTCCCAGTATGGGAGGTGAAATCCTGAAAAGCCCTGGTGGAGGATTCAGGGAGGGAGAAACCCCTTGGAACAGCCAGCAGGCTGCTGGAACCCACCCAAAGCTGAGGAAAGCCCCTTGTGCATCGGGATGTGGGCCTGGAGTCCATGGCTCCAGCGCTGAATTCCACGGCCGGACTTGCTAAGCTTGGCACATTTGGATGCTCCCTCTGTGGGAAGTCCTGGGACAGTGGCAGTGCTGGGGATGCTCCTGACACGCTCCCCACTCTCAGCAGGATTATCTGCCGGATGCAGGCACTGGAGTGGCTCATCTGCTCCCTGTCTGCAGAAAGGAAACACCCCCAAAGCCAAGGATGGATACCCACGGAACATCCAGGCCAGTCTCACAGCACAGTTTCTCACCAGCATCAGGAGCATCCTGGGGCATGAGAGAAGGCCTTTAGCAGGAATCTCACACCCAGGAGCAGAGATTCCTGGGCTGGGATTCCCCTGTGAGACCCACCTCTGCATCCTGCCCTTCCACTGGCAAGCAGCCCCCTAGCCAGGTTTGTTCCTTGGGCACCTCCAGAGACACCCCAGCATTCCCGGTTCAGAGAAGAGAGCAGCCAGGGCAGGGAAAGCACCTTGCTCAGTGCTGTGTGGTGAGGAATAGAGCTGTGGTCTTGGCAGAGCCCTGGGTGTGCTGACAGCCGAGCCAGGGAAGCTGGCGAGCTGCCCTCTGCTCCGGCCAGCAGCAGCTGTGCGGTCCCAGCCACAGGAACAGCGGGATGAGCACAGACAGGAGCCTGCCCCGTGCCCCAACACCCCTCACTTCTCTGGGCTCCGAAAGGAAGCCAAGTCCCTTCGTGGCACAGCTGGGTCTGGGGTGCCATCCCTAATGCCCTGGCTGCTGGCCAGGGGGCCTCACATCCCCAGGGATCCTTCCAGAGGCTCTGGAGCTGTGGCTCTCAGGGATCTGCATCCTAATAAGCACCATGATGTAACTCTGAGTAAGCCTTACAAGGGATCAACCTGAGGAAGCTGCCATTTATTACCTCTTTTTATTTCCCCCCTCCTTTTTCTGCTCTGCTTGAGGTCACCTGGTTTGAACCTCAGCAACACATGGACCTTCTTCCCCTTCTCCTCCCATCTGTGGCCTCACTCCCAAAGAGAATCCCTGCATCTGTGCCAGCACAGATGATGCTGCCTGTACCTAAAGCTCTGGAATGGTTAATTTATTTATTTCTACATGATTTCCAGTGTGGGAATGGCTACAAGGCTCTGTCTCCACCAGTTCTCTCTGATGTCCCTGTGTTCAGTGCTCCTTCAGGCTATTGACCCATCAGCTGCCTCCCAGCCATCCAGTGCCTACCAGCCTGCCACGGATGCATCAAGATGCTCTAAAAGTCTTTAAAACAGTTTTTGTTCTCTCCCTAGCTGGGGTCAGGAGTAGGTTCACCTCTCCAGGGTATTTGCATGGCATTGCTGCGGTATCTCCCACATTCCTTCACTCTGTGTGGGAGGACAGGCATGGAATTGTGAGGAATCTGACCATTTTATTCCCTCTCCTGCCTGCAGAAACCACTGTCAGTCCTGGAAAGGCTTCAGCCCTCTGCAAGGCTCCCTGGCTCTGGGCTGGCTCCAGTCCTGCTCTGGAGGCTGCTCTCTTCCCTATAGGGTGGACCAGGGTGGTCTCTCCTCTTCCTCTAGGCACTGGTGGGGAAGAGGATACCAAGATGGATGAAGGTTTTCCACAGAGAAGAGCCAAGCCTCTGTGGCCCAAGGACCAAGGTGGATGGCATCAGGATCCAATGGGACTCATGGCTGCAGTGGTGCCCACAAAATCCCTGGAGCTCAGAGGCTTTTGCTGTGCTAGCAGGGAGGTCCCTTTCCTGTGGGATCATCTCTTCTTCCTCCTAGCTGGTGTCAAGTCTCTCAACAGGGCTCTTCCCAGCTGGCTCCACTTCCCCCATGTCAGAGTGAGCCATGAGTGTCGCTGCTGCTCAGCCACAAAAAATGGTGATACACTATAAAAACACCATAAGTAACAGGAAAGGGCTGCTTTCCTCCTGGTGGGACATCTCCAAGAAGCTCCATATAGGAGGGGATGGGCCTGGAGGCCAACTAGAGCTTCACCATCGTCCTCTCCTGGGTAGCTTGGCTTGAGGACTCACCAGAGAGAGCAGAGCATCCCCGTGATCTGTGATCTGCCGGGGTGGATTTGGTCTGCAGCCTAATTGCTGAGGTGGGACTGGGAAGAGGAGCCTTCTCTGTTTACTCACATAGTTTCAAGGTGAGTAACACACGCTGGGCCCAGCTTGGGGCTCCGTGGTGATGTCAGAGAGTGAGACCTTCCCCTCCCCGCTCCCCCAACCCTTGGGCTGCCAGGATGGGCTGAAGAAGCTCTCAAATGGAAGGACCTGGGGCTTTGAACCTCCTCCTGCACCGTCACAGAGGGGCTGGGGGCCACAGAACTCTCCTTGTCTGACACAGAGGATCTTTGTCCTCTTTTTCTCCCCTTCTCCCCTCCTTTTGGCACACAAGGATCTACCTTTGATGCCCTCATGAGATAGATTTTCCACCAATAACAGATCCTTGTGATAACAGAACCTTGTGGTCATCCCTGTGACTGACTCATTCTTCCCATGGGGTTAAATCCTGGTGTCTCCAGCTTCCTTCAGCAGCCTTGGGAATGGGGATATCTTGTTTTCTTCATGTCCACCTCCACCACATAACCCCCTCCTGCTCCTGCTCCTGCTCCTGCTCCTGCTCCTGCTCCTGCTCCTGCTCCTGCTCCTGCCTGCCAGTCCTGACCCTGGAGCTTGGCCAACCCTTGGCCAGTCTGTCCCCAGGAACTGACTGCTACCCTGTCCCTTGGATGTGGGAGCAACACCTCGCTGATGGGTTTTCTTCCTCCACAACCATCAGCTGAAGCAGAGGATCCCAGGAAAACATCAGACCTCAGTGAGCTTCTACACTTCAGCAGAGTGAGCTGGAGATGGTCTTGGTGTCCTGGGGGGCTTCCTCTCCCAGGAATTGCTTTTTGAATCTGTCTTCATCCTCCTGTGTCAGGAGAAGTCCTAAGGAGAAAAATCCTTTGGACATGCTGGTCCTGGGTTTTGCACAAGAGGCAGCGAGTCATCACCCTCTCATCACTTATCTTCTCTGGACTCATCAGGATATCACAGACCTCGGTCACGTCTGCCCTTGATGCCCTCTTCCCAGCCTGTTTCACCACTGTTTTCACAGCAACCTGAGTTTTCAAGGAAGTGGGCTGGGGACAGCGACTCTTTGAGGGTGTTTTCAATGGAAAGCTGCTGGGGGCAGGATGCTGGTGGGATTTGGGAAGCCGCCCTTGTTTGCCGGGCTGCACAGGGTGTGAGGAGCCTTGTCTAGGAACATCTTGTGCTCTGCAGCCGCCGGCAGTGAGAGGCGGTGGTGGCTCCGGGGGTTATTGCTGCACCACTGAGGTACAAGGGATTAGTACCGCGAGGTTGGGAAACGAGCCGGCCACTCTTGCCGAGCTGGAATCGAATTGCAGCAGGAGCACCAGCGGCTCCTCGGAGAGCCCGAGGCCGCAATCACCGCCCCGGCAGGCTGGGACATCTTACTGCCCTCGTAAAAACCTCATCGGGCTAATGTGGATCTTGGCTGGAGTAATTAGAGTCTCATTAAGGGACCGCTCATCTCCCACCACCACATCCACGCTGTCCCCAACCTCCCCCTCTCTCCGCCCTCCATGCCAAGTATTTCCTTCTCCTTTTCTCCGCGGGGAGAAGAAGGAAAAAATCCCAACCAAACCCCACAAAAAGGCAACTTTCCCCCATTTCTGTCTTGCAGCAAACCCGTGGGCACAGGGAGCCGTTGGAGTGGGAGCACCCGGGGTTTTGGCAGGGATGCTGCTGGCCTGTCCCGTTTGTAGAAGCTGAGGCAGCCGAGCCTGCCAAGCACTGGAGAGCTGGGGATGAACCTGAAGCTTTTCCTTGAGCTGGGAGCCAGCCAAGCTCTACTGGCCAAGTGTCTTCTTTATTCCCTTCTAGGCTTTTTCCATGCCTGGGTGTATTTCCACAGCGTGCAGATGGGTGGAAAATTACTGGTGATGCTCCACTGCCAGGTCCCTGCCCTGGCAGAGGTGAGTTAAGGCTGCACATTCATCCAGGGAACTTCTCACCATGGGATGCTGCTGGGGCTGGAATGCCTTGAAGAACCAGCTAAAAAAACAAGAAAAAAGCTATTAAAAATAAGTAAGTCTCTCTTTTTTTTTTTTTTTTTTTTAGCTTAAAAATGTTACTCTGAAAAGATTCATCCGTGCCAGCCCACTGAAGTTTTTGCAGCCTGGGTTCTGCTTCTCAGAATTACCATGAGAAAGTACAAATACATCCCAAACAGAGCAGATAAACCAGGATAAATGATCTGCACCAACATACACAGCCCCCAATCCCTGTGATTCCACTCTCAGGGAGGAAAACAGCAGTGGCAGAGAGCTTGGAATGACAGGGAACACCTGGGCTTGGTGCAATGGCTCAAGATGGGAGGGAGGGAGGGANTGGATGGATGGATGGATGATGGATGGATGGATGGATGATGGATGGATGGATGATGGATGGATGATGGATGATGGATGGATGGATGGATGGATGATGGATGGATGGATGGATGGATGGATGGATGGATGGATGATGGATGGATGATGGATGATGGATGGATGGATGATGGATGGATGATGGATGATGGATGATGGATGGATGGATGATGGAGGATGGATGGATGGATGGATGGATGATGGATGGATGGACAGATGTTTAGAAAAGCAGGGAGCAAGCCCTGAAGATCTCCTTTCTGTTCCCCAAGGCGTGATTCACAGCCCACATGCTGCTCCTCCAAGGAAGCAGAGGGAACACCACAATCTTCCTGCTATGGGAAAACCCCAATTACAACATGTAAACCAAGGAGCTGTGGTTGGGGTGCTGCACCCCTGGGACCTGGGAGCCTCCATCCCCACCTCCAGGCTGAAGGATGCTCATTTAACCCAGTTCCTTTGAGCCAGGACTGGTGGGAGGGATGGAGCGTGCCCTGCTCACATCCAGGGCATTGGAAAATCCCCTTGGCTGGGACAGAAGCAGCACATGGACATCACATACCTCAGGCTGCTGAGCCTGGCCTCTCCCCTCCTCTGCAGTGGCACCTTCAGCCTTCCTCTTTTTCTCCTGAAACTACTGATTTGGCCTGTATTTGTGAGCTGTTTTAGGGAATTTCACTCTTCCAGCCAGGAAGGGCAAGCCCAGGTGTTTTGGTGCCCATCAAAAGAAAACTTCTGCTTGGCAGACATAGCAAAGCCATTCATCACCTTCAGACACGTCTCTTCCCACGCAGCAATTTTCAGTGCCTGGAAAGGAAAAGAAAATAATAAATGATGAGGGTCTTAGCTATGCCTTCTGCAGCATCTCTGGATGGGGCTGCAGGACCTTCTCCAGCCTGGTGTGGGACAGGACATCCCCCAGCTGACAGCTTGGATGTACAAGCTGTCCTTTTCCATGCCTCTGTTACTGGGACACCGACACTGGGGCTGACCCCAGTTCCCTCAGTAGGGCTTTTATTGTGGAAACCCTCAGGAAAGAGGGCTGAGAATGAGGTGGTGCTGGGATAAAGCACGCTGCCATTTCAGGGATGGCTTTACCACACCAGGCAGAGGAGAGGAGGAATGGCTCCTCAGGGCTTAGGGCTGAAATGATTCCCTGCCTTGCTCTTCCCCATCCCAACCCCACGTCCTCATTATCTTGCAGCTCATGGAAACCTGTTAGAATGAGGTTTACTCCTGGCTGACCCTCCCTCAGGGATATCTGATGCCATCTGATCCACAGTGGCTGGATCAGCCCTTCCCACAGGGAATCACAGCTTGGCCCCAGTTCAGCATCTGCCCTTGGGCTGGGGACTCCCCAGCCCCAGTTGGCAGCTGGCCTTGATGCCACCGAAGTTCCTGGGGACTTCCCAGGGCTTCCCAGCCTTTGGAAGGGCTCACATTGCATCAGCCAGACCCAGAGGAGATGCTCGGTGACACACAGGGATCTCCTCCTTCTCCTGGCTTTCAAAGCTTTTCCTGCTTTGCATGTTCTCCAGAAGGACGTCAGATCTCCCTGGGGCACTCTTGGTGCCACTTGGATGGGGACCTACTTGGATCAGACACTAAGAAAACACAAATCCACAAGTTTTTTGTCCTCAGGCAGGTAATTAGTGGCCTGGGTTTTGCCTACGCCAAGCCACTGGCTCTGCAAGACATGGCAGGTCCTGGGTTTTCCAGACTTCAGCTGACCAGTGGCAAACATAAATCCCAGCCCAGGAAAATCCTGGGTGAGCCTTTGCTGAGTTGTTCTTCGATGTTCTCCAGAGTCCCAAAACCCAGCACTTTCCTATCAAAGCTCAGCAGCAGCAACAGAACTAGGCACAGTGCAGGATCCTATCTGCTCTCCAGAAGGTGATTCCCAGCTCACAATTCCAGCTTGGGCCTTCTTGCCCCAGCAGGACTTTTCAGCCCCAAGCAATGATGAATTTTTGGGGGAGGCTTACCCAGCGTGGCCCATCATCAATCCTGACACATTTTTTCCCCAACACCCTGCAGCAAGAGGGAAAAATTCCCCATAGTCTTTGGTCCTCCCATCCCACCAGCTCAGGTCAGCACTAATTTATGGGGAATAAAACAGAGAGTACAATAGAACTGATAAAGGAGCCTAGTATCTTAGGCCTAATCAAACAGAAACCATGCGAGAGACACAGATGGGAGAGACTCCTGCTCCCTACTCTCTGGGGTAGAAGTGACCAACAGGTATGTTGTGAAACCTTGTAATGATTTCCAGGTAACTGATGTCATGAAGAATGTGTAACCAAAGGGAAATTGTTACCAAAATCAGAACCTTATATAAGTGCCATACAAGTAAAACCCTATATAAACACCTTGTACACTGAATAAAATTGGCTTCTGATCTCAACTTGGATGTCCCCGTCTCTCAGTTGCCAATACCAGCTTGGCTTCCTGGCTTCCTGACCTCCTTGGTGCTCCAAACACGTGGGGCTCAGTGGCTAGCCTGGGGCTGGGTTGCTGTGTCCTGCTGGATTTGACTCCGAGGGATTTGGGACAGATTGGGGAGGCAGCGCAGGGTGCTCTCACAGCCTTAAAGCTTGGAGACACCATCATGGCCTGGGATAGTTGTAAGTCGGTGCCTTCCCAAAAATCCCCATCATATCCCCACAAAAACATGTGGGCAGCACATGGGGAAGTCCTTCTCCATGACAGCAGTTAAAAAGTCCGGGAGGAAAAAGAAATTCCAGAGGATAAATCAATAAGCTTTTCCCAAACATGGTTTTAATTATCAGTGTTGATGCAGACTTCAAAGGGAGGAAGGAGAGAAGAAGAGGTGAGTAAGGAGGAGGAGGAGGAGGAGCAGAGGCCCTGATTTATCTCTTAGCAATGTGCATTAGTCTGCATCCAGCAAAGATTGAGAAAGGGATTGATTTTGAAAAAAACAAACAAAAAAGCCCCCCAGACATTAACACATTTGTAACGCAAAAACCCATGGGAAAAAAAAAAAGCCCCAAATCCTCACATTCCTGCACTGATGCCCATCAGCTCTTCCAAAACACACGTGGCCACTGCTGACATCAGTTCCAGGAGAGCCCCGGAGCTGGGAGGTATTTTGGGGCCAACCCGCCTGTTTTGGAAACACCTGCCTCATTTCAAGGGCGCTGCCAGCTCATCTCGGGCATGATCCCCCCACCGTTATCTTCGGTTTCCCCATCGCCCCCAGGCTGCTCCTCCCAAGGTCATCCCACTGATCCATCTGGGTGGCTGCTCCTTATCGACAGAGCCAGGGGCACAGCTTCCCCTCTCCCCCCCAGGGATGGATGCCAGGCTGAGATAAGGATCCACTGGCTCCAGGGAGGGAGAAAAGAGGTTCCTCCATCCAAGCACGAGGTGGAGGGGACAGTCTGCTATCAGGACACCCGCTGGGCCAAAGAGCCCCAGGGCACCTCGCGCCCATTGTCTGGGCACGCCTGGAAAGGGGAAATTAACATAAGCCGAGATAAAAAACAAGAGAAAATTAGCATAAAATGCATATACAAACAAGAGAGGAGGTTAAGAGAGAAGCTGTTGCACTTCTCCAGGTGTTTCTAAAACTTCTCTCCAGAGCCATGGTAGGAGAAAGCCGATTTTCCTCCAAAATATTGAGGCTAGCAGAGAACCAAGACCAGGGGAGAAACCAAGCCCAAACCCGTGGCGTTTTGCATCTCATCCTCTGCTGGGCCTGGCAGGATGCTCGGGAGAGCCTCAAATCCTGGCCCAGAGGGCTCCATCCCCACCACCTCCTGGTTTCCACAAGGGAAGAGGAGACGCTGTGGAAGCTCAGCTGGAGCATCCCACCGGCACAGCTGGGAGCCATGGGAGGCCCGCAGGCTCCGGAGGGATGGGAAGGGGTCATGAGGAGGAGCCGGAGCCGAAGGACAGCCCCATGCCCGGCACTGGCCGGCTCGGGACGCGACCTGCCGGCATTTTCAGCAGCTGAGTGAGCCAGCAAAGGAAACACGAGCAAAGAGCTCCCGAGTCAAGTAAACAAACAACCAATTAAGAGATGAAATAAATCTCCCAGGTACATAACCTTCCTATTTAAACGCTCTAGGCCTGGAAATGTTCCAGTGCATCTGACCCAGCTTCGCCTGTGATCTCCCTGCCGAATTCCCGTGGGGAGCTGGGTTTCAGGGAGTGACTTTTCTTCTGCCTTTCCCCTTACCTAATTATATTATCCTTTCTTTCCCGTGTTGGTTTAATTCAGAGGGAAAGTCCCCAGATGTTTCCCTCTGCATCCCCTCCTTGGCACAGAAGTGGATCTGCCTCCCTGCCCATCCCTGGAACAGGACTGACTGCATTGACCTGTTAATTAGGGAATTTAAGGCCAGTATAGAGGAAACAGGGGCAAATTGACCCAGCAGCATTAAAGGAGCAAAGGGAAGAGAAAAACCAGGCTTTAAAAGGAAGGCAGACCCTGGGAGAATTCTGGGGGAGAGTGAGGATGCTTCTTCCACAGCAGGACAAGGCACAAAGGCTTAAGTGGGTTAAATCCAGTGTGTTTGTGAGAGTGGTGTTGCCCTGAAAACTAAAGCCTTCGGATAATGTTTTCATAGTTTTAGTTACTTTCCCATGAAAGTTCTATAAATATAAGCTGTTTATCACATTCCTTCTAAGAAATGTCTTTTGGTGGATGTTTTGCATGACCAGTGTGCTTGGGAAGGTGGTAACTTAATTACCCAATTCCTGGTCATAGCCGAGAATCCATAAATACTGGAGTCAGAGAATAAAGGTCGGCTCCTTCCTGTTCTAGCGCTGAAAGGTGTTTGTGTGAACCATTTAGTGTCCTTTAACGACAGAGTGGTGTTAATCTTACTGGGGTTTCTGTCCCTTACAGCTCAGGGGATTCTCAGCCAGCTCCCTCCTTTGAGCATCCAGCACCGCAAGGGCTGCCAGGCGCCCTGCCCGCTCCTGGGCTTCCCTGTGCAGCCACTGCTGACTCAGGACAGCGAGGGACTCACCCCGCTGCCTTCAGCACAGCTTCTAATCCCAGGCTTAACTTTAAGCCCAGGTTTGGGGTCCCACAGAGGACAGCAGTCACACAGCCCAGCCGAGGTCACCACCGAGTTACACTGACTCTTTCCAGGGATGGGACACTGTTTTAATTAGTGCTGTTAAATTGCTTAAATCCACACATGTGCAGAATTTTGTTACTCAAAACCAAAAGTGGAGGCTGCAGGGATAAGGACCATTTAGAGGAGGCATCACTAATTATTTTTGGAGAAAGAAAAGCTTTGCTTGACACCAGACTAGGAGCTCTTTCAGCCCTTGTTGATGGTGTTTCATGTTAAAAAGGCTTTTACTGAGGTGCTTGATGTACCCAAATACCCTACTCTGCCCCACCACCAGATGCCAAATCCTGCAGAAAATATTTGGGGACAGGAACCATATATTTGTGAGTCTGCTTAAAAGACTAAAATACCCCCTTATTTGGAGACCAAATGTGCAGATACAGACCATGTGCCATGGGATGGAAAGGGGATGGAAAAGGATGATGCAGCTTGGATATAGCTGTATCCCTGGCAGGGAACAGTTCCCTGCTCAGCAGACCAGGAATGCTCTGTGACCCGCCCCCCCCAGACCCCACCATGCAGGGATGCTCAGCAGTCCCCAAACTCCAAACTCTGATGGCACATGTGGCACCTACCTCCCGTGACACCAACCCCACCCACCCCAGAGTGGAATTTATGAGCAAAGACAGGAACAGGGTTAAAAATAGCCCAAAGCCATGAAAACCTGCTCAGACAGGGAAGTGAGAGCCCCACAGATAG